TGTAGCCCCCGCTGGCCTGAAACTTCACTATGTAGACCAGGCTGGCCTTGAACTCACAGAGATCCGCCTGCCTCTTCCTCCTCAGTGCTGGGACTAAAGGTGTGCGCCACCACACCAGACTAGATTTAATAATTTTTAACATCAGTGTCCTTGTTCTCCAGGATGATAATGGAAAATTTCTGAGATTTACTGAATTTACCAAAACTTGCTTGTCATTTGTTTAATGACTCTTATTTACATTTATGCCTAATTTAGTAAAAGAATAATGTAGATTAAGAAAAATTCACAAGTGACATGCTGTTTCTGGTTCTAGAAAGCTAGCAGAGAAATACATTTTAATTCTAGTTATACCTGAGGTTTTCTTATGTTTGATACATAGATTTGTTATTTGAAATATTCTCTTATTGACATATTTATTGTAAATGTAAATGTGCATGTTTAGAGGTGAGCTGTAGAATGACACTGATTAAGGAAGGAAGCAAGCAAAATTTCAGAGTTTCCCTAGTAGAAACAGGAGACCAAATATGTATTCTGTCATTGCTCATGTCTATCAAAGCTGTTTTGGATGATTCTTGGAGGGCTTTGAGCTTCTATAGTATATTTTTGTTTTCCTTCCTTTATGAAATTTCTTTTTTGAGGATGGACTTAATTTTTATGAATTTTTAATTTTTTTTTTCTTTTTGAGACAGGGTCTCCTTGTAGCCCCAGCTGGCCTGGAACTCACTATGTAGACCAGGCTGGCCTTGAACTCACAAATATCCACCTGCCTCTGCCTCCCAAGTGCTAGGATTAAAGGCGTGCGCCACCATACCCGGCGAATTTTTAACTTTTAAAGTAATCTTAAACTTTAAGGGACAAGGAACCTGCTGAAGATTTCAGTCAGTTGCTGGTACAGTACCCTTCATTGTAGAATATTTTAGTATATACTTCCTAGAAGTAAACTTTTTATACAATCTTAATATAACTATTGAGATTAGGAAATTAACTCTTTTTTTTTTTTTTGGTCTTTTTGAAGCAGGGTCTCCCTGTAGCCCCAGCTGTCCTGGAACTCACTATGTAGACCAGGTTGGCCTTGAACTCACAGAGATCTGCCTGCCTCTGCCTCCCAAGTGCTGGGACTACAGGCATACACCATCATACCTGGCAGGAAATTAACATTTTATGATTAAATTAACATTGTATGATTAAATCCTAACATCCTACATTTAGATAGTTGTTCAAATGTTTCTCACAACAGATCCATTCTTCAATTGCTCATTGAATTTAATTGTTGTATCTTTTTGGTCTTTTACAAGGTAGAAGAGTTTCCTCAGTCTGTCCCTTAAATTCCTGACCTTGGCACCTCTGGAAGGTCCAGGGTAGCAGTAGCATTGTAAGCTGTCACTCACTGTGGGCTTATCTGCTTCTATTTGGTCTGTGCTCAGGTGACAGGAATGCCAGTGAGATATGGTTTTCTTTTCATTGAATCACATCAGTCTCTTGATTTCCATTTGTTTCATCATTTGTATTTCCATTTGTTTTGGGTTTTAAAAAAATATTTTATGTGTATGAGTGTATTGCCTGCATGTAAGTGCACTTGTATTGTGCAGTGCCCATGGAGGATGAGGTGTCAGAAGAGGGCATTAACTCCTCTCCTCCCCAGGCACTGGAGTTACTGAAGGTTGTTAGCTATCATGTGGGTGCTGGGAATCGAACCAGGGTCTTCTTTAAGAGCAGACAGTTCTCTTAAATACTGAGCCATCTCTCCAGCCCAAGGGTTTTGATTTTTTTTGAGACCGGGTCTTATCATGTAGCTCCTGCTGGTCTAGAACTTGTTACATAGACCTGGCTAGCCTCAAGCTCACAGAGATCTGGCTGCCTCTGTCTCCCAAGTGCCCTCACACCAAGCCCTATGTTGTTTTTTGTTTGTTTGTTTTCTTTTTGTCTTTTGTAGACAGGGTCTCCCTGTAGCTCCAGCTGACCTGGAACTCACTATGTAAACCAGACTGATCTTGATCTTAGAGGGATCCACCTGTCCCTGCCTCTGGAGTGCTGGGATGTACCACCACACCTGGCTCCTACATTTGTTTTTTGATTAAGAGGTTGTCTGCTAGACTTCTTCACTGTCCAGTTACCTTCCCCTCCTTTTAAATTAATGCATATTTTGAATTTTTGGCTATATAATTTGAAATTCTGAAATATCCTATTTCTTATCAACTTTTTTTTTAAAAGTCATGGACTCATTGGGTGCCTATTTTACTTTATGGATTATCATCTGATATGTTCATTATTAATTCTGTTGATCAAATTGTTCCAACTTTAACCATTAAGAGTTCCTTAAAGCTGGGATGTATTTTTTTTTATCTGTCTTTATCACTCTTTGAACATATTCTTTCAAAAGTATTTTTTATTCTTTGAGAATTGAGAATTTCATACAGTGTATTTTGATCATATTTGTCCTTTTTCCCTCCATCTTCTTTCAGATCTCCCTACCCACCCAACTTAGTGTCCTTTTTTTTTTAAATTTTTATTTTAAAGCTTATTGCCTCCAATTTGTGTTGCTCAGATGCTTTTTGGCATGGGTTCACCCCTTGGAATATAGCCTGCCTACCGTTGGTCACCCTCTCAAAGAAAACCAGCTTTCCCTCTCCCAGAAGCTATTAGTTGTCAATACTCAGCTAGGGGTGGGACTTTGTGCCTCCTTTTCTCTCCATGCTGGAATTTTGTCTGGCTTGAATTTATGCAGGTCTTGTGGACTCTGTCATAACCACCATGAGTTCATATGTGCAGCTTCCCTATTGTGTCTGGAAAACAGTTTCAATATGGTCATCTGCTGTCTCTGTCTCTTACAATCTTCTTGCCCTCCTGTTCTGCAGTGATCCCTGAGCCTTGAGAGGAGAGGGTGTGATATGGGTGCCCCATTTAAGGCTGAGCACTCCACAGTCTCTTACTCTCAGCACATTAGCAATTTGTAAGTACCTGTGTAAAAAGAAGCTTCTCTGATAAGGATTGAGAGATGCACTAATTAATCTATGGGTATAGTGACAAGTCATTAGGAGTTGGTTTAATACTATGTACATTTAGCAGAATAATAGTGATAACTGAACACATTCTTATTAGGAGCAATAAGATGTTCAAAGCTCACCTTGGACTAGAAGTCAGCCATTTCCATGGAGTTTTGGTTGCTTGTAGTAGAATGGGATTTAGAAATACAATCTTTGTGCTTTTTCTGATGAGGTATTGCTATTTTCAGGTCCTTTTAGTTAATAACTGAGAAAAATTTTATGTGTGTATCTTTCTATGACTGTTTGCATAGGGCCTAAAAAAGGAGGGAGAGAGGAGAAATTTATTTTACCTGTTAAAATTATGAATTCATTCTTTCACTTATAATTCTAAACTGATACTGTAAGAGTCATTCTTTTCTTTCTTTATATACTTGTAACCCTCGCAGTAGAAAAACCTCATACCTACAATCATCGATGTTTATTATTTTTTGGTGATTATCCTGCACATAGCTAATTTCTTGCAATCTTTCTTCATACAATTGTCTTCTTAGGCCAGGCTGTTGAGTTCTGGCAGTGGGAGCCTCCGGAAGCAAAGAGGGGATAAATGTAATTGTTTGAAATGATCAATGTCATGGACAAACTAGGTTTGATGAATAAGATAAGAAATTAACTTTGATAATAATATTTTGTCTCAGAAACAATGTAACAGGGTTGTAGCTATAAAATAGTGAAGCACGTTTCTTATGTGGGCCTTCAGTTATCTACAGTGTAAATATTAGGAGAGTTAAAAATCTTTTGAACATTATTGGCAAAAATATGTAACTTTTCAAGTACTACAACCCTTGCCTTTATAGTTATTTCTGATAACCTCCAGTAATTTGATGGGGCAGATGTGTGAGTAATCTACAGATTACTATTAGCATTTCATTCTTCCGAATTTTACTTGTTAGATGTTTGCATTATTTCATATTAATGGACAAATGTTCTGAAGTTTTTCATAGAAATGACTAGATCTTATCTCTATTTGACACAATTTTTTACTTTTATAGTACACAAATATAAATGGTCATGACATGAAACTCCTGTAGCATTCTTTGTTTTTATGCTCTTTGTATCATGGGCTTTGATCAGTTACATTTGTTTTTCATTCAAATTAAAAAAATTGTCTTTCTTGAATTAATAAATAACTTGTTAGCCTTTTTCTTCCTTTCCCTCTTCTTGATAAAATTACTATTTTAACCTTTGTTTACTGGAAGTAAAATTTTATACTCACTGGTATTGTTACTATAATATAATCTGAGGAAGCCTGTTTTCTCTGTTTAGTTTTATTTTCTTATTCTTACGTTATGGACCTGTTGTATTTTTTTAGTGCTTGAAGCCAGTCTCAAAATACTCTCTGAAAATAGATAAGGGATAAATAATAAAAGGAATTATGAGTTAATCCAAAGGAATAATTATCCTTTGACTTAGCATGTTTTTATTCTTCACTGTCTTTGAGACTCGCATTCTTTTAACTTTGTAGAAAAATATCTAACTTTTAATTATTCTTAGTAGAAACTGGAAAATTTACTGACTTCTGTTCATTCTGTTAGAAGACACCTATTCTTAGGATAGCAATAAGTCATTCTTACATTTTAGGCTTTGCTTATGTGTAATATCATAGCCTTTTATAGCAGCCAGTTTACTGTCATTTTTGCCCAGCACAAGTCCCTTGCTGACAGTAGCTTACTGCTCTTTCTGTCATCTGACAGTTTCCAAATTTTCTATGTACCTTAATTATTATTTCACACTTTGAAGTAAATATTGGCTTTTATTTTTACTTATAGAATCAGTGAGTTTGAAGCCTTTTAAAGCAATAGAATCCTTTCAAGGATATTGAAATCTTATATGAACTTTATATGTAGTATAGAAAATATATTGTTCTATATAGCAGGGCTTTTTCATATGTTGTATATTTCTGAGAGACAGTTGATTAGTTTTAAGCACATCTTATGATTTTATTTCTGTTTAATTTAGGCGACAAAAGGCTAGAGAGAGGCAGCAGAAATTGCTTGCAGAGTTTGCCTCACGACAGAAAAGCTTTATGGAAACTGCAATGGATGTTGGTAAGTAAAAAGTTTTAGTTTAGCCAGGTGTGGTGATGCACACTTTTAATCCCAGCACTTAGGAGGCAGAGGCAAGTGGATCTCTGTGAGTTCAAGGCCAGCCTGGTCTACATAGTGAACTCCAGGTCAACTAGAGTTAAAGGGAGACCCTGTCTCAAAAGGATCCCCTCCCCCTAAGTTTTAGTTTAGAACTGTCATAATTACAGTTATTATTTTAGGGATAATCTAGTCTTAACTTCTGTCAGGTTTAAATATTATAGTTAGGTAATTTCTAGTCTTCATTTAAACAGAACACTGGGGGAGATGATTTATTTATTGTGTGTGTGCATACATGTAGACCTACCCATGCCACAGTGTGTCTGTAGGTCAGAGGACAATTTTTTGGAGACATTTCTCTCCTTCTATCATGGGAGTTCAGGTTTTCAGGGTTTGTGGCAAGCATTCTCACCCTCTGAACCATCTTACCTGCCCAGAATCAGATCTTTGCTGTAGCCTATTTTGTTGCTGAGCAGAGTTCCCTTTGCTCTCCTCTGTAAAGCTATCTCTTAAATCTTTCAAATCTGTCAGTGTGCATTTCATTATTTATATTGATACTTTTCTGTGCAAGTGTTCTAAGATCCTTATAATGATTTTTGAATACTCTTAAGTGTCTTCTCTTTGTGTTACCCATTAGTATTTCTAAATATCAGACGTACCTTTTAGTTCAATTCAGATTGGTAGTAGGATTTTACAATGAGAAGGAATGACATTTTCCTGTATGATGGTAGATTGCTGTGAGCAGTCTGTTTGGTTTTTGTTTGATTTGGTTTGGTCTTTTTGAGACAGAGTTTCCCTGTAGCCCTAGCTGGCCTGGAGCTCACTATGTTGACCACTGTTGAGTAGCTACTGCTGCTGTGAGTTCAGTGGGTGCAACAGCCATGTCATATCCAGAAGATATATATTCTTCCCATCCTCTGGCTCTTAAATTCTTTATGCTTCCCTTCTGTGATGGTCCCTGAGCCTTAGAGGGGTGATATCGATGTCTCACTTAGGACTGAGCATTTGACAGTCATACATTCTCTGTACTTTGACCAGTTAGGAGTCTCTGCATTATTCACCACCCATTGCAAACAGAAGGTTCTCTGATCAAGGCTGAGAATAACACTAATTGGCCTGATTGATACCATGGAAAGTAATGGATTATGACATTTTCAAACATATTTGTTCTTTTTTGATTAAAATAAAATTTATTTAATGATGATGTACATTTGATAATAAAATTGTAGTACCATAGTGACATTTGATTGCTTAAACAAAATATCCTTCATATAAAAATCATGTTATGGTATGTATAATTTAATCAGCAAATTCTTGGCTCACAAAGGTACGTATGCTTTGTTGACAGCTTGACAACATTATCATAAATTTACTTAAGATTCAGAACAAAAGACTTGACATTCAGTGTTACAAAAATTTATACTGTACCCATTATACTTTTGTTCAAGGCTGTAAGATAAATCTGTACTTTGTTCTTGTTGATCTCCCCCCACCGCTGTATCTACAATCTCTCTTGCCTGCTCTGCTCCATTTCCTTCCCCATGTAGCCCCATCTTCTTTCATGTCATATGCATTCTGTTACTGTCTCCCCATTCCAAGTTCTATTTTTTTTCTCTTCCATGGTCCCCTTTCTAGTTTCGTGACTTATATGCACTTGCACGTTTGCACACATACGTCTTAAAATAGAGAATATGTATATTAGAGAAAACTTGGTATTTGTCTAATTCTGGCTTATTTCTGTTAACATAATTTCTAGTTTCCTGTAAATGTCATGATTTAATTTTTCTTTTTGGCTGAATAAAATTCCACTGTATATGTATCACATTTTCTCTATCCATTTATCTGTTGATGGACATTAGGGTGGTTTTGTTTCTTAGCTCTTTTGACTAGGGCATCAGTAAGCATGGATGTGCAAATATCTGTGTGGCATGCTGACTTAAGAGTCCTTTGAGTATGTACCCAGGAGTGGCTGGTATAGTTGGATCATATTGTAGTTCTATTTTTAGTTTTTTGAAGCTTTCATATTGATTTCCATAGTGGCTGGACCAGTTTACACTTCCACCAGTAGTGAGTAAGGGTGCCTCTTTTTCCCACATACCAGCATTTGCTGTCATTTCTTTTCCTATCTTTTTAAAAAATGATTTATTATATATGAATGTTTTTATTAATTTATTATTTTTTATATGAATATTTGCCTGCATATATGTATGTACATATGCTAGAAGAGGGCATTAGATCTCCTGGAACTAAAATTAAGGACGTTTCTGAGCTACCATGTGGAGTCTGGGAACTGAACCCTGGTCCTCTGCAAGAGCAGCAAGTGCTCTTAATAGCTGAGTCATCTCTCCAGCTCTGTCATTTGTTTTCTTGATGACAGCTATTCTGTCTGAGGTGTCGTAGAATCTTGAAGTATTTTTAACTTGCATCTGCCTAATGGCAAAGGGTGTTGAACACTTTTAATATATTCATTAGTCATTTGTGTTTCTTCCTTTGAGAACCATTTATTCAGTTCCTTAGGTCATTTATTGACTAGAAGATACGGTTTTTGTTGTTTAATTTTTGTAGTTCTTTATAAATTCCAGGTGTTAGCCCCCTGTATGAAGTACAGTTGGCAAAGATTTCCCCCCATTTGTAGCCTCTCTCTTTACTTTGCTGATTGTTTCCTTTGGTGCAGAAGCTTTTTAGTGTACTGTAATTCCATTTGTCAGTTTGGGGGATTACTTCCTTTGCCATTGGGGTCCTTTTAAGAAAGTTCTTGCCTATGCCTAGATTTTGAAATGTGGCCTTTTTAGTTTCTTTTAAGAAAGACTCAAATAACATAATTATTAAAGTTGGAATTTTAAAAAGTTTCTCTACTTGAAAAACAAGTCATCTTATTTTCCTGTCTTTATGGCTGTATCATTCTCAAGCCTTTCTTTTAAAAACTAGAAATGGTGATGCAGCAACCTCTTTAATACAGTGGGTTGACATTAGGATTTTCTTAAGATTTTCCAGCTGACAAGACTTACTGAAAAAAGAAGTCTTATCTTTGTATGTTAGACAGTCAGTGAAATTCTGTTTATTTGGTCCTTAAAATTAGATTTAGAAATTGTTATTGAATATGTTAATGCTGTAACGAAATGCTTCTAATCATGTGGTTATTAAATAAATAATTAAAAAAATTAGATTTAGACAATTTAATCTACTTATGTCAACCATTTGTTTTCACTTTTGAATTTGAGAACAAGGAAAGACCCCTCTTTCTGTGCTGAGTGATCATTTCTTTCTTTTGAAATATTCTGTTCCTACTAATCTTATTTAAATGAATAATGTGCTTTTTAGTTCTGATTTTATTTGTGTATTATTTTGTTTTTCATTTCTTTGTTGACTTACTAGTTCCATTATTAAGCATTATCCAAATATTTATTTTTGATTCTCATATCTTTTCTAATTAATCACTTCTTGTTTGTGGTCTTTTTGAGACAAGGTCTCCCTATAGCCCAGGGGCCTGGAACTCACTACAGAGACCAGGCTGACCTCAATCTCTGCCTCTGTTTCCCAAGGGCAGGGACTAAAGGCATGCTCCACTACGCCCAGCCAATTAATCACTCTCAATAAAGATATTTTTATGGTTCTTTTAAAAATTAAAAACATGAAAAAATGACATTTCTTTTAAAAAATCTATTTTATTTTATTTTAATTTTTATGTGTATATGTGATTACCTGCATGTATGTATGTGCATATATGCACTATATGCATGTATACCTGGTGTCTGTGGAAGCCAGAAGAACTGTAGTTACAGATGATTGTGAGCTGCTGGGAAACAAACCTAGGTTCTCTGCAAGTGCAACAAGTGCTCCTAACTGCTGAGCCATCTCTCTAGCCCCCTTGACATACTTCTTTTTGTGTTTCTGACATGTAATTTTATATACTTACTTATACTTTAAGTCTTTTAAACATCTTTAAGAGAATTGTGTATATGTGTGTGCACACATGTGTATGGGGTAGGTACCCTCATTGTGTGCATGTGTGGAGGCTAGAGGCCAACTTTGGGCCTCTTTATCTATCTCTTCTCTCCTTATTTTTTGATACTGTGTCCTCTCACTGAACCTGGTACTTGCTGTTTCTGCTAGACTGGCTGTCCAGCAAACTCCAAGGATCCATATCCACTTACCCGTCTTGGTGCTGGGGTTACAGGTGTATACCACTGTGTCCAGTTTTTACATGGGTCCTGGCGATCAGAACTCAGTTTCTCATGTTTGTACAGCATACTCTTTACCCATAGATCCAGTGTCTACAGCCCCTTAAACACCCTAAAAAGCTCTTCTGCTTTCCTGGTCTTTCTTCTCTACTCATCTCTTTGCCACTATAGACAACCTGGCACTGAGGAATTTAATTGACTTTATCTATAAGTCATTATTATTCTAATATTTTATTTCTTGTTGTTAATAATATATTACCATTATTTTCTGTAGTAGTACCTGGCTTTGTTAATACAGAATGTGGCAGTGTATTATGATTTCTGTATACAAACATATTAATGACTTATTTCAGAGATATTACTAAAATAGAGAATTAGTAACCAAATTTTCCTTTTTCATCCATGTATTATATACTGCCATTTTTCCTTAAGAATTGGTATCTTGGGGCTGGAGAGTTGGCTCAGTCATTAAGAGCACCGGCTGCATTTGCAGAAGACCCAAATTCGAATCTCAGCACCTACATGGTGGCTAGCAGCTGTATGTAACTCCAGTTTCAGGGGAGCTCATGCCCTCTTCTCACCTCCCACGAGTATTGCATGACACAGGTGCACTCACATACATGTAGGCAATACACTCATACACATAAAAGAAAAAAAGAATTGCTGTCTTGTATTTCCCCTAAGAGCTTTGAAATAATCAACCTCCTCCTTTGTTTCTTAAAATATTACTTTAAAAATTGCTCTCATGCAAATGTCTTTGCTAATGTTTTTGGTATTGATTTTTATCTGTGATTGGTATAGCATCAGAACTATGTTTAATCATATTATTTAAAGTTTTTATCAACTTCACATTTTTGTTCTTTGAGCAAGTATTTTATATGAACAAGGAAGGGTTTCAATAGTTGTATTATGATCCAGCTTTGTTGGTATTTAAGTTAAAAATTGTTTGAAATAGGTTTTCTTTTTCTATTCTTTTTTTTTTTTGTATTTTTATTGAAAAGGGAATTTTGAAAAATTACAAGTTTCTTTTCTCTCCAGATTCTCCTGAGAATGATGTTCCTATGGATATTTCCACAGCAGAACCTCAAGTTTCTGAGGCTATCTATGACTGTGTTATTTGTGGACAGAGTGGCCCTTCCTCTGAAGACCGACCTACAGGGTTAGTTGTACTGTTACAAGCATCATCAGGTAAGTTAATTTAGACAACATTAATTTAGACATCTGTAACAGATGATTAACTGTGTATTAAATGAAAGTCACTATTTTTATCTACTTATAACTAGATACTTAGATCAAAAATTATGGTTTCATCATCCTTTTCTGACATGAGTATCAGAATAAAGTCTTAGAGAGAATATATTACCTTCCTGCCTCTCCTCCCCCAGAGTGTGATGGGTACCACCTACTAGTGCTAGGTGGTCAGTTACAGAGTTTAATTTTCTTGTTTATTGTTCTAAAATGTATAACCCTCTAAGTCCATCAATATTGTGGTTTTAAGTATTTTAATTATATGTGGTATATCCTGGCAGCTCTTGTCTTTGTATCTTGAGTTATTGAAAACAGTAACTCTTGAAAGAGCATGCAGATTGGTATGTTTGCCAATCTACTGTTTTGTTTTATTTTTGAGATAGGGTTTCTCTGTAGCACCAGATGGCCTGGGACTTGGCTATGTAGACCAGGCTGGCCTCAGTCTCACAGAGATCATGCCTCTGCCATGTAGTGAGCTTGAGACAAACCTGAGCTACATGAGACCCGAGTCAAAAACAAGCAAGCATGGGACTGGAGAGATGGCTCCATGATTAAGAGCACTGGCTGCTCTTGCAGAGGACAGGGGCTTAGTTCTCAGCACCCATATGGTGGCTAACAGCCTTCTATAACACCAGTTCTTGGGGATCCAGTGCCCTCTTCTGGCTGCCGTGGGCATTGCATGCATATGGTGTACCCACATACATGTAGGAAAAAGTTTTTTTTTTGTCTTTTTTGAGACAGGGTCTCCCAGAACCCCAACTGGCCTGGAGCTTGCTGTGTAGACAAGGCTGACCTCAACTCCCAGAGATGCCTGCCTCTGTCTCCCATGTGCTGGGACAAAAGGTGTGCACCACCACACCTGGCAGGAAAAGCGCTTGTACCCATAAAATGAATTTTTTTAAAAAAGCAAGTAAAGCTGGGTTAGGTGGTGCGCTCTTTTAATCCCAGCACTTGGAAGGCAGAGGCAGGCAGATCTCTGTGAGATTGAGGCCAGCCCGGTCTGCATAGTAAATATCAGGTCAGCTAGGGCTACAGGCAGACCCTGTCTTGAAAAAAAAAAAAATCCCAAACAAACAAAATCAGGTAAACAAACAAACAATACACAGAAAGTGTGGGAAGATAGTTTATTCAACAGTTTTCATAAAGAGAGATAGGTTAATCCTATCAATATGAAACACATTTAAATAAAGATTTTGGTAAGAGACAAAGAAGGACATTATATATTGATAAATACGTTAATATCAAGAAAGTATAGCAGTTTTAATGATATGTGCACCAAACAAGAAACTCCCAAGTATATGAAACAAACATTAACAGAATTGAAAGGAGGCATAATAGATGGTTATACAGCATGTGTGGCATAGACTTTAATAGCTGCAATCAATAATCAAACAGAAGACCAAAAAGAAGCTGAAGGCTTGAACAACCTGCTAAAACAGCCACACATTTTAAACACTTTGAACATTTAAAAATTTAAATTATTTTTGTGTGAATATATTTACATCATTTCCATCTCTCCCTCTCCCCCTTCCAAATTCTTATAGTCTCCTCTTTCAAATTCATGCCTT